ACTCTTTATCCAAAAACATACCCATAACTTGTTTCTGAATTGTTTCTTGTTTTGGTAATAAATTTTGCTACCACTGTTAGAATTAGTTTTCCCTTTAAGCCCTGATGTATTGTAGATGTGCTGTTCACTACTCAGGATCTTTTGCCAACAGGTTTCTCTGATGGGCTTCAGTTCACTTCAATTTCACTTGATTCAATGTCTTTGCTTAAAATTTTTAGAGTACTTTTGTTCCCTGCAGTTTCTCTAATGTACTTTATAAAATAAATGAGAAACTAGGGTGTGAATAAAGTAGGATTGTAGCCTAGGTTGTGCTTGAAGGGTGTAAAAAAACTATTGATACTGCATATATGCAGAATATACCAATGAATTCCTGTCCTGAGGTGTAAATCCATCCTTCAGTAGGATAACCAAAATCCTCCTCTGATTGTGATGCCTCACCCAGACTGCTCTGTCCTGCAGATTCTCCAGGTGCTCCTCCTGCCCAGGAGTTGGAATTGGCTCCATCTGAATCAATAACAGTTTTTTATCACAGGCCTTACTGACTCCAGTATTGAGCCCTGCAGTCCCAAGCCTGTGCTAACCAGTCACATTCCATTTATCCAAAGAAAAGCTGTGGAGTGGGAAAATTAAAGACAAAGAAACATCATTTAGTCTGCCATATAATAAAGTATTTTAGGCTCAGCACTCTGAAAAGCTAAAAGTGCTAACGTGTGTTATTGATGCCATGGCTGAGAATATTCTCATCTGGCCTACAGAGAAATGAAACAGTTTTTTGAGTATTTCAATTAAGGGCCAAGGGGAGAACATTTTAAGGTGAAATTGTGAAAAATTTCTATTGTAGGCTCCTAAATTTGTGCTCATTCGCATTACCAAGGGTTATATTCTTCTATCTCAGAAAACATTTTAATTACAAATATTAAAGACCTTAGTTTTAACTGTCACCTAAAATTAGAACCCAACACAACATTCCCTAAAACCTTTTAGACTCAAGATTAATTAATGCACCAAACAGAAAATGTTCATTTGCTAAGACTTTAGGATCTCCTGTTGCTTTGCCTAAGTTTGTTCAAAACATTTTCCAAAAATAGTCATCTAATCCATGCATTGTCATCTTATGAAATGTGACAAGATCAAAGCAAAACCAGTCATTGGACTGGCATTTCAATTTTTATCTAAGTAGCCATCAAAACAAGCAATCAAACTATGGAACAATTTGTCTTCCTCTCGCCAGAGATTTCTAAGGAGAAGCAGCACAGCATGCACAACATTTCACTGACTTGAAGCTTGAATTCTGGAGGAAATTCTAAGGACCCTTTACAACTGCACATGTAATGACCCACAGCATCCACACATCTGCCCAAGCTGTATCTTCAGTGTGCTTAAAGTGCCATCTCATTTTCAAGCTAAACAAAAACGTTGATGCCTTGGATTTACAGTAATTTACTGATTCTGTCTTTGCCATCTGATGGCAGTACCGAAAATGAGGAATGGCTTTGCACTCTGATGGCATATCTCAGAATGCTTGTCTCTTATCTGCCCAGGAGGTTATTGAATGTTGATTGTAAAATGCTGAATGCTATCCCATATATCTCTGGTAACACGATCTGTAAGAGGAGTTAGTTACTCAGATTTTGAAACACTCTGTATATGAACAGCAGGTCATTTTTATTGAGCTGCTCCCTACACAGCTCCCTAATGATTCCTTGGTCAGATCTCTGATGGAAAATACCAGTAGCTAACAAAGGGATACAATTATCCCGGTACAATCCTACTGTGTGTTTTAATATAATGTGCTAATACATTGTCCAGTGTTCCCACAGAATTACACCACTTCTGTGAGAAGTCCTGGCCAATATCTGATTGATTCTGGTCTGTGGGGATTGGCCCAGTTCACTGCAATTTCCTGTCTTGTTGCTTTCTTGTCTATTAGAGAGGGTTTGGGTTTGTGGAAATCAATAGGCTTATACATGCAAAATGTGAAGCTATTCCCTAGCAAGTTTCATTTGCATCCTTAATTTATGGAAAATGCTGTTTTCCCCTCTGCACTTTTCTCTTTTTTCAAACTCTACTTAAACAAATACCTGTTTAAACATACCCCCCAAAGTATTCATGCAGGAGAAGATCTGAACTCCTGTGAGGATGCTGGAGATGTTTAACTCATGCATAGCCAGGGTCTGCTGCTTAGGATATTAACAGCACTTGAGTGTTACCTAAATGGAGTCCTATTTGTCTTAGCAGAACCATTAAAGTTATGATTTATCTTAAAATGGACACTAATATTCTATTTAATCTTAACAGTTATTTAAGCATCTAACAATCTATTTCCTCTCACCCTGTGAACTTTAGAAAGATGATAATTAATGGTGTACAATAGGATAACTTTTAAAGGAATATGCTTCCAATGTTTCTCTCACTTTTACAGAAATTGAAGCAAACTGAAGAAACAAAAGAAGATTCCCAGAACAGAGTCTCTAAAATTTCCCTGGAGTCTCTCAATAAATTTAACAGCAATAATGTACTTTTATTAGAAAAAGAGAAGAACTGTCTGAACAAGGCTGAAGGACAGAAGGAGGAACATGGAAAGAAGGAAGCAGCTTCCTCGGGCCGGCAGGATGTGGACAACTTGGAATCCCTGAGTGATTCCCTGTACGACAGCTTCTCCTCTTGTGCCAGCCAAGGCTCCAACGACGTTTAGGGACACTTCCCACAGGGATGGAGCTGGAGGTGAGCGTGGAGTGAGCAGGGAGAGGAGACTTTGCTTGGCAACTCCCCCTGGAGCTCGCTGTGCTCGCCTCAGGGTGTTCTGAGCTCCCGCCACACAGCAATAAGGCAGGGCAGCATCTCGGTGGTGCAGGGGGCTCAACACACCCAACACAACGAATAAAGTCTTAATTTTGCACTTTTGTCAATATTTGTACACTTGTAAATACCTTGGGAAAATATATTTGTAGGGATACACGACAGCAATAAATATTAAATTGGTGCTATGCTCCTGTAATGGCAGATTACTAACTTAAAGAAGTTTGTGTGAATATTAACAAGAAAAGCTGGTAGATTTTTTTAAAAAAGAGTTATAATTGTCCTAGTCTTAAAACTGTATGTAGAAACACTGCATTTCCATAAACTTGAGCCTGCCAGGTTGTCTTTAATAAACTCTCGTGGACTCCCTTTTAGAAAACATATTTTATTTTTTCTTCTTAGTGCAATTCCATGCAGGTATTCTAGGGAAACATGCATTTCAGTTATTACAACTTCACAACAGGTGTCTTATTTCAAAAGGGTTTTGACTTTTGACATGGCAAGAAAATGAATAGATTAAAAGGCCTGATACTGCTGGCATTGGCTTCATCAATCATGCACATAACTGTTTGAAAGATCAGGGTCAAAGCAATTCACTGCTGACACAAACAGGGGTCCTGTAGGGAAGAGAACCACATCAACCACCCTGTACTTCTGGCTGCAACGTGGCTTTTCAACTTCCACCTCCTCTGTACTGTGCTCATTTCTCATCAAATTAAAAATGTACCATGCTGTGTTATCTTTTCTAGTCTCTGTTTAGTCTTAAGTAAATTCTGAACACTAAAATTATTTTTTAAAAAACAAAACAACTGTCTGTGACACATTAAGATGTTGGTGCTAACCAGTACTAGTTCAAACATATCTTGGAGCAGGGGGATTGGGCTGTATTGGGTGTTCTTGTTTTTTTCTACAAAGGTTGTTTATATGTAAGGGAGAGTCTATTTCAAAGGTTCTGTGTATTTTTTCTAGATGTGAAGTATTTATAACTGCTTTTTGTACAGCAATTGTAAACTAGATATATTTGGAGTATTTCTAGACTCTACAGTTTCTTTAGCAGTTAATCTTTGAAATATTGTATGATCAGTGTTACTATTTTGTGCAATTTGTTATATTTTAATTCATTTCTGCTGTAAACTTGCATCGTCTTTTTCAACTTTTAAGAGATTTTCATTGAAAACACCTTTCGTAAATAAAACTTCTCTTGCCTACCGGTGCGTGCTGCGGGGTTTTGGGAAGGGGATGCTGTGACAGCTTGGGCTGGGGTCAGGGGGTACAGCTCCGGGACAGAGCATGGGCGGGCAGTGCTGGGGCTGTTAAACAGCGATTTCAGCTTAATTAACTCTTCCTTGGAGCAGAGCTGGGAAACGATCGCTGGGAAATAATCCGGAGAGGAGGCGACGCGCTGAGATGGTCCCAGCAGGGACGATGTGGGGGCAAACCCGGGGATGACCCTGCCCTTCCCTCCCCTCCCCACGGGCACTGCCCAGCCCCCGACGGCTCTCGCTACCCCATCGCATCGCATCCCATCGCATCCCATCCCGTGTGTCCGCGGAGGCTGCAGGCTCTGACCTCCGCGGCCCATCCCTCGCCCTTTCCCCCCCGTTTTGTTCCGCTGGGATGCCCTTTTAGGAGCTGGGAGGAGGGAATGGTGGGGCCGCGCCTCCCCTCCGTCCCTCCGGGGGCCGTGGGTGCCGCGGGGTGTCCGTGGGTGCCGAGCCCGGCCCGTCGCTCCCCGCGGACGCGCTCCGGCTGCCACCTGTGGGCTCGGCCGGGCGGGGACACGCAGGGACCGGGGTGACACGGCGCGGGCTCTGTGCCCGAGGAGCAGGGCGGGGATGGGATGGGATGTGCTGTGCTGTGATGCGATGAGCAGCCCCGGCGGGCAGAGGGTCGCGGCAGCGCCGTGCGAGCTGGAGCCGGAGCCGAAGCCGGAACGGGCGGTGCGGGGCTCTCTCCCCTCCCTTCCCCTCTCCTCCGTGGCTGAAGTTCGCCGTGCCCGAGGCGCTCCCGTTGAGGTGCGGGGATCCCCGCCCCGCTCCGCTGGCATCACATGGTGCTGGGGGAAGGAGGGAGGGAGGGGGGAGCCGCCCCCCAGCCCTCGCTTCTCCTACAGTTTCTCCAGTCTCAGCGCTCAACTCCGGCGAGGCTGGAGCGCGGCGCTGGGCAGGGCGGGCTCCGCCGCCGCTCCCGGGGCGCCGCTCCGCAGCGGAGGCGGCGGGGAAGCGGCACAAGAGCGCGGCGTCTCCGCTGCACCCCGGCTTCTGATGCCCCTTCGCGACTGCACGCCAGCCCGGCGGCCGCGGCTCCGGGAGGATGCGGCTCTTCCTCCTCGCTGCAACTTTCTGGGGATTGTGTCTGGCGCCAGGTAAGGGCTCCGCGACGGCGCTGGAAACCTCCGTCCCATCGTAGCCCCTCGACGGAGCTGCTACGGGGCGCTAAAACCAACGGAGCCCCCGTCCTGCCCGCGGCTCGCAGAGCTCCCGCCGGTGTCCCCAGCGCAGCCCCGGTGCCTCTCGGCGGATGCCGCCCGCGGATGCCGGACCGGGGGTCGGTGCCAGCGGGGCTCCCAGCGGAGGTCGGGGGGCTCGTGCCGAGGTCTCCCCGCCGCTGGACGAGGGATGCGGGATGTGCCGGCGGAGCGGCTGCTGGCGAACCGCGGGAGCGCCTCGTTTGCATGATAAAGGCGGCTGGCGAGGGATGCTCCGCCGCTTTAATTGTGCGTGGCAAAATAGTAATTAAATAATTTGTAATTAATTAGTAGCTAAGTAAATCCGTCGGCGCAGATAAGAGCCGAAGCGTGTCTGTGAGCAGGGTTTCGCTCTGCGGGGCACGGGTGCCGAGCGGCGGGCGATGGATGGGCAGCGGCTGCGGGGCTGCGCCGGTGCCGGTGTCGATGCCGGTGTCGGTACCGGTGCCCGTCGCCTCCTGGCGGCGGCGTCTCCAGCGCCGGAGCGGCCGCCCCGCGGAGAGGAGCATCCGCAGAGCCGGCAGCGCTTCTTTTACTTTATATTTGTCAAAAGGATACTTTGGCTGAGCTGTTGAATAGCCAGGAACAGCCAAATGCGAAGGGGGAAAGAGAAGGAAGATTTCTAGCACGTGTTGGTTGTTTAGTTTTTTATTTGTTTTGGTTTGTTTTTTTAATACTATTGCTGTTACTTAAGGGCAGGTTAGATGGAGCACCCGGTTGAGCAGGTGGTGTCCCTGCCCATGGCACGGGCTCGGAATGAGATGATCTATAAGGTCCTTTCCAAAAGAAAGCATTCTCTGGTTCTGAACAAATCTCTGTCTGTTCCAGGTTCGGGTTTGCAAATACAGTGTTACCAGTGCGAGGAGTTCCAGCTAAATAATGACTGCTCCTCCCCAGAGTTCATCGTGAACTGTACGGTGAATGTTCAAGATATGTGTCAGAAAGAAGTAATGGAAAAAAGTTTTGGTAAGAATTTGATAATTATTCCTCTGTTTATCTGGTTTAGCAAATTTGTTGCTTTTGGCTCCACCCATTCATGGTGCTCAGCTTCATATGAATCTCGAGTCCCCACCTGAAGGGACTGAATTCAGTGTCTTACACTTCCGAGTGGCATTGCAACTCAATGAAGTTAAGCATTTTCCTTTAAAACTGAAGGATGCAAGCCAAATGTTGATAAAGCTGGTTAAGACACAGCCTTATGGGTCTCTGATATAGTTCCCCAGCACTGGGAAATTAATAACAACAAGTTAGTTTAATCTCATTACAGTTAATTACATGGGCTTTTCCCCCAAGAGATAGAAGAGCATTAAATTAGTAATTCCCTCCTTTCTTTTATTTACTCAAGCAATTTATATACTCTGAAGATTCATCTTAAGGGATGGAAAGTGTGGTGATCTTTGCTTTCATCCATTAGAGAAACCATCAAGCAAAAGGGAAAAAGGGTTTTATAAAAAAAGGGGGGGAGGGGGTGTTAGGGGGGAAGAGAAGGGCACAAATTGATTTTTCATAGCAATTTTTAATTTTTTTTCCCCTTACTGCAATTAATATTGAAGTTGATATATTAGGACAGCAATGTGTCCAAGAGGGAATCACCTGTGATTCTGCACCTTGCCTCTGTTGTCTCTTGAGCTGTTTTATAAATGGCTGGGCTGAGCAAACTCCTCTTCCTCCTCAGCCAGCTGCCCCACCTGTGCTGCTCATCTCAGGCCACTGTGTAATCAGGATAAATAAAAATTAGTGTTATACGTCAAAAGTAGCTGAACTGCTGACACATTTCATCCTGGGTAGCACCATCCACAGTGACTACTGCTGTGAAACACTTACAACCCGTCCAATGTAGGGAAAAAATCTGGTTTTAAGCTGTTTAAAGGAAGATTAATCTGTCTTAAGTTATTCTTTTACTGGAGTATTTTATTTCAAAGGGGGGTGAGGGTGTGAGACAGTAACAGCTTGCAAGGTACCTTTAGCATCTTGAGTCTCTCTAAATGACTGCTTGAAGGCTTTGCTATCTCCACACCACAGCTTCTGTGGCACTTCCATGAGGTCAGACAGGATGTTTTGATTTGGAGGGCTCTAGATGTGGTAATAGATACAGACAGAAAAGTCAGATTTGAACTCTTTTCATGGATGCATAACTTGCCATTACTCCTGTGAGGAAATTGCAATACAGTAAATAAGTAGCTCTTAAACTCCTTGATGGGTTTTTTTTTTCTGTACAATTTTATGTTTTTTTTCTTAGTAGATCCCTGGAATTTTTTTCCTTTAGGAGGTTACTAACATGCTCTGCATAGCAGGTGCCACTGTTTTATTACATTTACTTCTATAAATGCATTTCTTATTAATTTTAAGTTCAGAGATTGTAAATTTCTGCCAGTTAATAAGTTAAATTTTTACCTATTTCAAATTGAATGAAATTTACATTGCAAACTTAGTTTCTGTTACCCTCAGTCAATTTTAGAGAGGGTTGGTTGTAAAATAGAGATGATTCAGTTCATCATCCTTTATTGGTTTTATTCCTAATTGATATTTAAATGTGTGCAATATAAATGCCTTCCTCTCCCAAGTTGTATTTAATAATTCATTTTACTTCTACTAGTATATTTCATAACCTGATTCTTTTGGTTGTTGCTTATTACTAAAAGCTGAAATGTTTCAAGTATTGATTTTAATTTATAATAGACTCGAGTTAGAGCTTTTAACCCAGAAAATGAAAGATGCAAAGTTGCATTCATTTGACAGCACAATCTCCTAATTAGAGTTCTTTCCTCCTCAATAAATACAAAGGAGTGCAATTTTTGTAGGTTAACCCGTTTTTGTCATTAATAAAAGTAGCTGTGTGAGCGAGCAAAGTGCACCAAGTTATCTCAAACTTTATTTAAAAGTCAGGTGCATTGTTCTGAGATAAAGCTCAAGGTGGGAGTGGGTGCCCATCCCTCTGCACCTTCCCCTGCAGGAGGCACCAGTTTGGGGGTTTTGCTGTCAGGGCTGCTCCATCAGGCTCTGTGCTGTGCAGAATTCCATTGCCTGCAGTGCAGCCCCACCTGTGCCCAGGGACCCTTCCATGAGTGTTTGCTGTGTTCAGGATAAAGATAAAGTTATAACTCAACACTGAGATGCTGCCACGGCTGCTCTGTGCCTCAGCTGCATTTCTGGGTTAAACTCCCTGTCCTGGAGGCCAAATGGGAGCCCTGGGCTGCTCTTCCCATTCACCTTGCACAAAGCTCCTCGTGCCTGTTCACACCTAACTCCTCCTCAGCTGCTCTAAATCCAGTGCTTCAGATCCCACTGGGCTCTCTCAGGATTTGTCTCAGCTCCAGGTGAGAAATAGCAGCAGCTCAGGCTTGTTCCTAACCCAGAGCTCAAGAAGTGGCTCTGATGTGAGCAGCTAAGAGAGCAGGTGCCAGTAACTTCTGTTTTGAATTAGATCATCAGGCATCTGATCTCAGCTCTTTGTTGTACCAGGTAGATATTTGCTCCTTTGGACAGCTGAGAATTGAGGAGCAAATAGCAAAATATTTTTCTCTCTTAAGGTTGAGTTGTAGTTTAAAATGTTGCCAGAAAAAGTTTAATGACTGTTAGAATTCTGTTCCAGTGGGAGATACAGAACAAGACAGTATTTTCCCTGTGATAAAGAATCTTGCTAATTAACTTGTTAATTAAATCTCAAAAAAAAAGAAAGAAAGAAAAAGCCTTCTTTTAGAGGGAGGAGTGATGAGAATGGAAAGTGGCACTCAAGACTGTACCACAAAATTTTTCAGTTTTTTATCCCACAGAAATGAATGTAAAGGATAAGTTTCTAGTGCATTCTTCAACTGGATAAGCAGGTGTTTGAAAACTGTGTAAATTGAGTGTTTGACAAAGGATCAAATTCTTACCATAATTCCACTTGCAGATACCTTGTGGCAATACCTGTGGTGGATTCCCTGCTCCCACTTGCCTCTCTCTTTCCACTCTATGGACTTTTAAATTGGACATGTCAGTGCTCCTTCATTTTTAGAATATATGCAGCAACAAAGAAATCCCACAGTATATTGGGTTCAAGTGAAACATCTTGGTGATAGATGAGTATATAGTGTGTATATGCTTTTATATATATTATATATCACAGAAAACATGCTGGTAATGATAGTCTTGCCTTTTACTGAGGGGAAGAGTTATCTGAGCATAAAGGCTGATCTAAAACCTACTTAAGGCAAAATGAAACTTGCCATGTGAACACATCAGTGAGGGATAAAGGAGGAGGATGAGGCAGCCAGCCCAGAGAGGTAGCCAGTCTCAATTTCTTGGAACTCCTCTGCAAGCAAACCTGCCCACGTGCATGTTTTGAACAATACACCTTCTGTTCTGAGCTAATTGTGAATATACTTTTACCAACTTTTGCAAGGAAAAAAATTATTCACTGTAGCAATGCCAAAATTTGAAAATATCAAGGATTTTTCCTTTTGCAAGCAAATGGGAAACAATCAGATTATTGTAATAATCTGCAATAAGAAATTTGGCTTATTTGTTTGGTTTACTATGGTCCATTTTAATGTATTTAATTGGTATATAATTCTGCAGTGTAGTTAAAGAAATTGGTGTGAGTGTGCTTAAAAGTAGTGCATGGAAGCACCAAGAGCAAGATCAGCATCTCAGTGTTGAATTAGAACTTATCTATTTCTCTGAACTCTTTCCAGTACTGGTTTTCCCATATTTTGTTTTATCAGTGGCTGTGTTGTGTGATGAGTTGGGCTGTAGCAAATTGTTTACCTGTGATTATTACTTGGTTTTGCCATGATTGAGTTGTTCATGTGTCCAAGGACTACAGAACCACATACTTTTTTCTGTGTTCATGTATAGAATCCATTAGTACTAATATTAATTGCATATCAAGGGGAAATTATCAAGGATTTATATCAAGGGGAAATTATGCTCTGGTGTACTTTTATTGACAAAGTAATTAAATCAGCAAACAAAGTTTAATGTTGACAGAATTATTGTAGGCATTAAAGCTTTATAGAAGTTGTTGCATCCCCAGTATCCATTTAGAAACAGTAAGAAACATCTACTAAATTGGTGGTGGAATTTTTTTTCTTTTTTGATTTTCCTCTACACATTTTTGGTCAAAGGATATCAACATAACTCAACAGAATTTGTTGTGTCTGGGGGGCTTTTTTTGTTTTTTAATCAAAGCAAAGCACAATATAATAAATCTTTACTGACAATTTTAAAAGATAAATAAAAGTTTTGCATGGGACAGTTGGTACTTGTAACACATGTTGTGCTGCCAAGTGCCAGCAAAATGAAGACATAATGTCAATATTGGAAACAAAGTTCACTTTTGATACTGAATAAAAGACTTGCAGTGGACATTGTTAATTTGCACTGTATGCTGAACACTTGGATCTGTGGATACATTTCCATTCAGAAACACTTTTTCTTAAATTTCAAAGCCATTTCCTCACTTGTAAATTTTTTCCAATCTTTGGGTTTCTCAGAAAACTTCCAGCCACTTATGGAATGCACTGACTTGAGTGTGTCAGCTAAGGAGGAATTATGGGAGTGTTCAGCAGCTGCTGTTCTGACTGCCTTTCCATAAAGAAAAGCAGCAGTGGAGTTAACAGTTCAAGCAGTTTATGACTTAAAAGTCATGACAAAGATCCAAGTGCAGAGTGATGAAGGCTGCATTATTTTAAGGAAGATAGGGTATCTGGTCCAGTGAGTTCCATCTTTCACAGGATGTGGACAATAGCTTTTTATGTTATTTTATTTCCCAGGCTCGTATGAAAGATATACAAATGAATTTCGTGATGATACAGTGCCCACAGCCTGGTTCTCTTAAACCTCCCCTGAGAGTTTCCTATTGCATTTCACACACAAATGAGTTTGTGTTTCCAATCCCTTTTGGAGCCTGACCCTGCCACTCCTCTTAGCTCCCAGTGACCTTATCAAAATATTGGCAAGAAGCTTTAATTAATCCAAACAGT